GAGTTATAATAGATTATTATTATTATTTTTATTATTTAATTACTTGGCGGAGTAACGATGCGCGTACAACAGCAGTGAGTGGTCTATTTCAATATCAAAAGAGAAAATACTGAGCGAGTCGGCTGGAAAGAGCTAAAAGCGTCGTTGACTTGGGGCCAGCTTTGAGAATATTTTCACATCAGACAAAAATATGCGAAGGCGACGAGCACCACTTTCTATGGTTCGATGCTTCAAGAATAATTATATGTTTAACATAATTAATGTTGACATTTTCATGGTGTACACGAAAAATAAGAAAATTGGAAGCCCTCATCCGTTTATAACTTTGATAACTCTCTTACATGTTGTAAATAGACGATATATTAGAAGAAAGTTGATAATTCACTTCATTCGATCTTATGTTTAATAGGAAAAATAATAAAAATTGTGCGGTTTAACATCCTGGATGTAGTTAGTTGAACGGCGAATAAAATCAACAAAAAAAAAATAAACAAAAAAATCGGAAGAAATTTGTGTTATCATAACTTTCACCTACTCAAACGGGTTTGTGTGCTTTATCAAGTCATAAGGCGATAATATAGTATTAGATTTTTTCATCTTTGAATAGGGTCATAATGTAATATTTTCCACCTTCGGTGGAAAAACTGTAATAGTACATTATCACACTCTGTGAATCATTACAATCCTTTTTTCTTAGCTCGTACATGTAAGTCTGTGAGAAAAATTTAATTTTCTAACAAATCAACAATTTTCGACAAATCGGTTTTCAAGTATATTCTTCTATATACCATAAACATTTATATTTGGTAATTTAGCAAATTTCAATTATTTAAATTTTATAATTCTATGTATGTTGCATTCTTATGGAAAAATATTTTTTGAAGAATTCGCATTTTTACTGAAGTTAAAAATGGATTCAAGAGGCTCAGTGTGTGATCTATGTACACAAAGATATAGGGTTAAGGCCCTATTGCATCAACATTATTTTGATTTAGCTTGACTTAAAATTCTCTTTGTCTCTGTCTCTTTTTTGGCTTTAAAACGAGATAGATAGATAGATAAATAGAGAGAGCGGGAGAGAGAGAGAGAGAGAGAGAGAGAGAGAGAGAGAGAGAGAGAGAGAGAGAGAGAGA